CAGAGGCTCCAACCTAGTCCTTGTTCTCTTTGTCAACTTTCTCTTCCTTTCTCCCTCTCCCCTTCCCAGAAGAGGTTTTTCCGCTTCACTATGGTGACTGAGGTACCCCTCCCCACTTAGCTGTAACCAGCACATTAACACCTCCTGTAACTCACTCATCCCTGACCCTTGACTCTCCCCTTCATCCCCCCTCACTTCCCCCAGGCCCAAGAGAGGAGCAGAAAGCAGGTTGCAAAGAGCAAGAAGCTCCTCTGGGCTTGGGTGCCTCCCTCTCCTTGCTGCCTCGCTCCTCTCCTGGAAATGACAGCAGGATACCTCCCCATGGGGGGCTGATACAGAAGGGATGGCTGGAAGGGGTGGAGGGGACCCTCAGAGACTAGATTTGATAGGGAGAAATTGATACACAGGAGATATCTGAGGCTGGGGCCTGCTTCCCTAATGCAAGTCAGCCTCCCTGCCACCAACCCTCTGATGCCCACCCCAGTCCTGGTCTCTGCTCCTCTGGGGTCCCGGGGCCTAGTACCCTACTTATAGCTTTTTCTGTCTGCCCGTGTTTTGCTGAGAGGAAACTCTGGTCCTCACTGGAATAGCCCTTTGTGTCTGATCCTCTTGATACTCACTTTTGAACTTGGGGTGTCAAGGACCAGAGCCCCCCTTGTCAGGGTATAGCTCTGTCAGGGTCCAGGGAGTTTAGAGAGCCCAGGACTGCTGTGGTGTGAGAAGGGAACATTTCAGCCTGGGGCTCACATGGACTGGTGGGGACTAGGCTCTGGGCCTATTTAGGACTCAGTCCTAAGCTCCAGGGCTTTCCGGGGGCTGGGAGGGGAAAGGGCAGATAGGGAGGCAGGTGAGACTATTCCTGGGCATGGGTGAGCCCCATCTTAGACCTTCCTCTCTTCCCTTGGCAGAGCCCAAACCCAGCCCTCACATTCTGCGTGAAGACCCATGACCGGCTGTACTACATGGTGGCCCCATCTGCAGAGGCCATGCGCATCTGGATGGATGTCATCGTCACAGGGGCTGAGGGCTACACTCAGTTCATGAACTAACTGCTGTGGGCCTCCTGGCAGAGCACAACTGAGGCTTTTGTATAAGAAGACTTTAATATTCTGTAAAGAGCTTGGTCCTGTGAGTTTCTGGGCTCTGGCCTCCTGAAGAACCAGCCAAAAGAAGAAAAGTGGAGGTGGCTTTGCTGCCTCCTGGGAGCCCAGAACTTGCAGTAACCCTTTAGGGTCCTGCCCCGGGCCCAGCCAGGGCTGAGGAGCTGTTACAGAGAGGGCCTCAGCTCCGACCTGACACCTGCTCTCCCCAGCCTGTTTTCTCTTTTCTAAAAGACAAATTATGGTACCATAAGCTGCCAAAGATCCCCTCCTGCCTCAGACCCCTTTGCCAGGGGCTTTGGGGGCTTAGCAGAACCACATCCAGAGTGGGGTAATAGCTCAGGCAGCCCACTTCCCACTTCTCAAACCCCACTCTGCCCCATTGTTCTCCTTTCCCATATCCTTTGTATCACCTTGCTCAAGGGCCAGAGATCTCAAGTGTCATCCTTGAGGTCCCAGCTCCATCCCCTAGTTGCAGACCCATCACCATGGTTACCATAGCGACTGCTTCATTGCCATGGTTACATACTAATTGCTGCAGCTCTGTGGCCCAGCCCACTGCTTCAGCTATGGGCCATCTGAGGGTACGTGCCATCATCTCTCCAGCCCAGGCCTCTGGGCATCTCATGCTGGGGGAAAGGGACTGAACACCTGTTCCCTGCCCCATGCCTGTGTCTTCAGCCCTTATGCACAGCCTGCCAGCCCCCCAGTCCAGCCCTCTCCCTTCCACTGGTGCCTTGCTTATAGCCAGAAGGGATGAAGCCGGGGGATCTAGGGAACAGAGGAGGAGCAATGCGGTTGGGAGGGGAAGCTAGAAAGGTTATAGTTGAGTTCTGTACAGGGTCAAGTTTCCGACAGGCAAAGAGGATTCCTCCGATGCTCCTAGAGGGAAAGCCTGAGCAGGAGATGATGCAGCAGAGGGGAAGGGCCCTGTGGTGCCACTGCCCTTCCTTCAGCCTCCGAAGGGCGATGGAAATGGAGAGTGGAGGACCAGGCCTCCAGCTGTCCGGCCTCGCCCTTCACGCCTTAACACAAAGCCCACCTCCCCTTCTCTCCTTCCCAGCATTAAGCCCTTGGTTGCGTGGGCCCAGGCTGGGGGTTTTCAGTATTTGTAAGCATTTCAGCAGAACAATAAAGCCTTTGGACTACGGAAGTGAGTGGAAGGCCGGAGGTGTGGGACTTGGCACTGGGGCACTTGGGGTAGGAGGGATAGGTCTTCCCCCTAGAGCAGGATTTCCACCCTGTTCAAGGTTCCAGGAGGGAGCTAGGCCCTAACCCATGACCTCCAGGTCATGAACCTGCCCCCCACTTGACTCTGAGGACAGGCTGGGAGGTAGGAGGGCATGAAGAGGCAGGGGAAGATGGGAACTGGTGCAGAGGTTTAATGGGACAGGAGCTGGGGCCAGGTGAAGAGGGGAGGGCTGTCACCACGGCAGGAGGCTGAACAGGAGGCTGGGCAGAAGGGTGGCCGCCAGGCAGTGGGGCTCCAGGAAAGCCAGCTGGGACCCTGAGGTCAGCCGGTCACCATAGCGGTCCAGCAGCATCAGGACCACGCCATTCGTCCAGCCAAAACCCTCCTGGGAGAGGCAGGGCAGTGGGGCCCGGTTTCTGGGGAAGCCCCAGACCCTTGGTGGGGGCTGTGGGCTCTCTCCCCAGGGGCACTGGCCCTGCCTAACCCCAGCAGTACAGGAAGCACCAGTCAGCTCGTCCCCTGGGCCGACATGCAGGTGAGCACACTGAGGCCTGGGGTGGGGGTCGTGGGCCCAGGAGTTCCCTGTAGGGCATTGGCCAGCCCACCCCTGGCCTGCTCACCTGAACTTCATACTCTCCTCCCCCACCAGGCTGTCCACCGTTGCTGATGTCATACTGGGGACAAGCGGATGGGGTGTAGGTCAGGCACTGCCCCCAGCTCCAGGAACAACAAACAACCGGAGCCCTTGGGGAGAAGCTGCTCTGCCTGCCCAGCAGCCCCTGCAGTGCCCAGGAGCGGCCACTGGGTGCCGCCACCATCCCAGCTGTGCTGGCCCTGGGCCCTGCTGCCAAGCCTGACCCACCTCAACACTGGGACGCCCTGGGGGTGGCGGGAGGGCTCAGGCCAGCTCACCTTCTCATACATGGCTGACTTTTGCGAGTAGACATCAAAGTTGGTTCGGATCCAATTCTGAGCCAGCTGGAAAGCCACTTCCTGGGCCCGAGGTAAAGGTGCCTTGGCCAGGCCTAGACCCCATCGGAGGCAGGACTCAACCTCCAGGTTTCCCATCCCAGACAGAGCAGAGGCTGCACCCTACTCTCCCCAAGGAGGGAAAGAGGCCTGGGTCCTAAGACTTACTTTCTGAGACCACGGGTCAAACTGCCCTTAATCGAGGGCGATGGTTTGAAGGGCAAACAGGACTGATTGCACTGGACAGGTCGGGTGGACATAAATGTTTGCCGAGTGGAGGCCAGGAGAGCAGAGGAGTGAGAGAAAGGACACGGGGCCTGCATCTTTTGTTAACACCTCCCCAGCACCAGGGAGGCCCACCTCTACACCCTGGGGAGGGCCCTTGGCTGTGCCAGCCCTGCCTCCTTACCTCTGATGACCAGGTCCTGCAGGGGGGCCCAGGCATTGGGGAAATCCCACTGCTGGCCTGTCTTCTGGAGAGAGGTCGGGATTCCATACTGGTAAGTCAGGATCCGGCTGTCCTAGAAGGTCCTAGACATTCCCATGACTGTGAGTGGGGCTGGACTGGGAGCCAGGACAGATACTGGGCCCCACAGGAAGCCAGATGTCCCCTTCTTGACTCTTTTCTTCTTGGCTCACAGCTGCCCCCCGGTAGCTCCGCAGGACCCGCAGGCTGGGACAAGAGGCACAGCCGGAGGAAGCGGCCTCCCCTGCAGGTCCTGCTCAGGGTCGGGAGGGGGCGGTGCTGCCTGCAGTGGACCCGAGCCACCTGCTGTGTCCTCACCTCCAGGTATTTCAGAGCCTTGTCCGCCACGCCAGGGTCAGAGAAACACCCAGCCCAGAGTGGAGTGAGGTTGGATGGGTAAAACTCTTGGTTCTTCTTCTTGTTCTCAAGGTCATAGTCGAACCAGGCACCGGTCTCCTCATCCCACAGGACTGCATTCAGGGCGGCCAAGCGCTGCGCCCGCAGGGTTCTGTACTTTGTGGCCTGGGAGTCGTTGCCTGGGGTAGTGCTGCCTTTAGACCCAGTAGCCAGCGCCCTGCCTGCGGGCCCCAAGCCCTTCGTGGCTCTACTTTGGCCTCCACCCTTTGTGTTTCTCTGCAAGGGCTAAGACACCCTGATGACCAAGGGGATGTGCCGACCTGGAACCGACCACACTTCTGGTCTCTAGGTCCTGGAATTTCCTGAGCATATGGCCCCACACTGCTCCCAGGGAACCACTGGAGCTGATCTGTCCCAGGGTCTATCCTCCCAAGGGTATTGGCTGAGTGGATTCCCCTAGCTCTCAGGGGGTCAAGAACAGCTGTCTGAGGAGAGGGAGTGGATGGATTTTGGATGTGTGGACTAGGGTTCCCCTCACAGACCCTAGAGACCCTCACAGTAAGAAAGGGAGGAAGAGGGGATTAGGGTGGCCTCCGTTTGTCCTCTTGTCTGGTACACAAATGTGAGTGCAGGCGTCCACTAGGGCGGGGCTCAACAGGCTGGGTTGCTGAAGGCCTGTCCTACTTCCTACTTCCAGTTCTATTGCCAAGTCTGAGGCAGGAAACCAGACTCCCTGCTTACCCTTCCCTCCTGGGGTGCTCACCCAGCCTGGAATAGAATTTGCTCATCAGCTCCTCTGCTTGGCATAGGAAGGCATTCAGGTCAACAGGCACCAGTTTGCTGGTTCGGATGCCACTAAGCGAGTTGGGGTTTGGGCCTCCGATGAGCCAGCGTGAAGAGAAGTCCCAGCCAGACTCGGCCCCAGCCTTGAGCTCAGCCCACAGAGCCTCCCGGTCTCCTGTGAGGACACAGCAGGGAACCCAGCCAGTCCCGCCTGCAGGATAGGCAGCCAATGACAGGAGACCAGAGCCTGACACAGAGGTGCTCAGCCACCCTGCCCCCAGCCCTCCCTCACCCTGCTGCTGCTCACCTTCCGGCAAGGTGTCAGCCAACTCTGTGTCTTTGCTGTAGGACTCAGGCCTGGCAAAGAGGAGAGGTGGGCAGCCCGGCACTAGTAGCTACTAAGCCCCTCTGTGGTCAAGAGGAGGCTGAGCCATCTTGATCCAACTGCCCTTGGGCCCCCACAGCCCAGGATTGCAGAGGGCTCTCGGTGTCACCATCTGAGAGGTCAGGCTAAGTCACTCCTCCTCCTGCCCGGGGCATTGTGATGCTCTAACCAGAGTGAGCAGGTAAGAGATTGAGGGGTGGGCTGTGCAGTTCCTCACCTGGGTCCCCCGTAAGGGACATAATAGCGATTCAGGAGGTAGTTCTTTCCCTCTAAGCTCACAGAGACAGTCCTGTTCTTGGTCCAAAAGTCCAATTCCAAGGCTAGCGTCTCAATGTTCTCCCTGGAGTGAAGCAGACAACACCTCAGCCCAGGTGCGCTGCCCATCCCCAGCCCTGAGAGGTCTGAGGTGGGGGGTGGGTCTGCAGAGCAGCACAAGAAGGGTGGTACCCACTGTAGGAAGGTGGTGTCGTTGGTGTGAGTCAGGTAGCAATCCATCATGAGGGTCAAGAGTGGGGGCTGGCTCCGCTGCAGGTAGTACACGCGCCCGCCATTGGGGACATGCCCATAGCTGCCAAGAGGAAGGCCTGCTGAGATGCCTTCTCCCCAGCAACTGGCACCAAGGCAATCCAGCTCCAGGCCTATGGCACACCTGCCAATCCTCCCCACCTAGGCTGGAAGTGCCTGGCCCCCTCTCACGTTTTCACCAGGTCCAAGAAGTTCTGCAGCATGCCCTTCACCGTCTCAGCCATCTCCGAGAGGAGCAGACCCTCCATGACCCAGTAGGAGTCCCTGGGGAAGGGGCAGCTTAGGCACCACCCTGCTGTCTCCCTCTGCCCTGCACACCAGCCAGTGGGGCACTCTGCCCTGCTCAAGACACCTTGCTGGCCCTGGGTTTCTGTACCACTGCCAGTCCTGCAGGCCCCCTGGTCTCTCAGGCCTGGGCGCTCACCAGTAGTAGAACTCCACAAAGCGACCGCCAGGCACAATGAAGGGGTGTTCTGAGTAGATGAGAGAGAACCGTTCAGGGTGGCTGAGAACCTCTGGCTTCATCTGGAATCAGGAGAGAGGGCAAGGGGAGCCTAGAATCCCCATGGAAGCAGAGGCCGCAGGCAGCTGGGGAATCTGAGGCCCTGGGAGTCACAGGCTTTGGAGCCAGGCAGTTGGGTTCAGCTCTGGCTCCACTGCTGCTCAGCCATGTGATAAACGCCTGGCCGCTGGGAGCCCTGGGGTCCTCATCTGTCACCTTCTGGCCTTGGGAGTCCTGGCTCAACTTGGTGCCAGGTAGAAGACCCGACCACTCAGCCAGGCACCGGGCAGGTATCCACCAAGCAGCAGCCATTACAAAGACCCAGGGTGGGCTGGGTGGGTAAGGGGGTGCCAGCCCCCCATTTCCCCTCTACTCCCCATCCTTGCTGCCACGACCCAACCAGGCTCAGAAGATTGGCCCATCACCCCCATTCTCTGAGCCAGGTAGGGGTAAAACCCCAAACCCTTTCCCCAGGTGAGGGGATATAGATGAGCAAAGTAGCTCAGGACAGGGCTGAGCACAGGGCCTGGCCCCAAGCAGCAGTAGCACTGACTCTTCCTGAGACGGAGGCCTCCTGAGAAGGAGCTCAGGGAAGGAGACAGCCCAGCAGGCAGTGAACATCTACCCAGTACTGGGCAGCCTAGAGGTGGCAGGGCAGGCTGGGGTTTCCTGGGGAGGCTGGGGAGCCTTCCTGGAGGAGGCGAGGCATTAGAAGTAGATGCTGCGCTTCTGATCTCAAAAATTCTTTCTAGAGGGCTTCTATTTGGGGACCCAGGGGTCAGGAACTGGTTTCTCAGAAAAAGAAGCCCGATCTGTGCTCCGGAGACACTGTGGGCCCCAGGCACATTCCTCTCTCCAGTTCCCTTGGCCAGGCCTTGGGCAGGCCCAGGACGCTGATACCTTCTTCCCCAGCTTCTTCCAGAGCTGGTGCAGCTGCCCTGCCCAGACACGTAGTTTGGCATCTGAAATCTTCTGCAGGAACTGGGGGCTGGAAGAACACAGGCCCCCCAGGGTTCAGGGAGGCAGCTCGGTTGGAAGGGACCCTCTCTTGTTCCCCGTCCAGAGTCATACCTGTCTTTCCAGTCTGCAGGGGTCCAGGGCTGCAGCTCCTGCCCCTTGGCCTGGAAGTGTTCCTGGACAAACGCCTGCAGCTGCTCCCTGGGGATGCTGTGATTGTGGTCCCTGGACAGCTCAGTGAAGGTCTGCAGGACTTGTTCTGGAGAGCAGGCAGCAGGGAGGGGTCAGCAGGGTGTCACAAGCCACTCCCTGATCACAGGGGCCTCTCTGCTTGTTCTTGCCCCCTGCCTTCTTTGGAGAGAAGGTTCTTTGGAGAGGAGGTTCAGCCCTAGGTGCTTCACCTGGAGCTATAGACAGTGGCATGTCCACAAACTGCTTGTCATCCTGGTAGAACTTGGCCATTTGAACTTGGTGTAAGAGCTCCCCGTGGCAGTAAATCTCGCTGCAGAGACAGGGATAGGAGCAGGTCAGGTCACCACCAGCACCCCATTGGGACAGAAGAGAAGGCTAGAGTCTGTGGCAGACTGGTCAAGGCATGTTCCCTGGGACTGGACAAGGGCTCTGTGTGTGTGTGTGTGTTAGGAGTTTGTGGGTTGGAGTGACATACAGGGCTGAAGGAACAAGTAGGGTCTTTGGGCAATAAAGTGCCTGTCTGACTGCCTGAGCCCACACTGGTGGCTAATTTGAGATGATGTAGAATAGCTGGTAGACAAAGGGAGGTTAGCACTTTAGTCATACTGGTGTGGCCAATTCTCTGTACAATGGCCCTGTGTAGACTCAATCGGAAGGGCTTATGGCAGAAACCTGGGAGGTGCACTCAGTGGTGATTGCTGAGATTGGGCCAGAACATTTCCAGGCGCAGTGTATGTGTAGGTCATTTGAGAGATAATTACTAGCTGGCTCTTGAGTGTTTCCAGAAACTGCTTCCATGACGGCAGGACACAAAATAATCCTGAAACCTGAAATAGCCATAATGTCTTGGGTGATGTCAGAGGAACACTCCGTAATGAAGGCAGTGCCCAGAAGTGTTTCTGAATAAAATGGAAATGGTTTATTCAGGAGCGTGCTGCTCAGGGAATGCAAGGAGGTGCTCATGGTATTCAGGAGCAGGAAGCCTCCTTCCCCCTAGGGTCAACTCTGGAAGCACCAAGGAGCTAATGGATCCTAGTGCCACATAGGGGCCCTTTGAACAGCTCTTGGTTGAATGACAAAAGCTGCTTGGTTTATAGGTAGAAAGACCTTGTTTGGAAGGCCTTTGCACTCTGACTGAGGATGGAAAATCTTTGAAGAAGGTAAGAACAAATCATCTCAGTGGATTGAATTGCGTGCTGTTTTCCTTGCAGTGATAGAAGAATCAAATGATAAAAGCCCCTGTGTTTGGGTTTTTACTGACTCATGGGCCGTGGCCAATGGCCTGGCAGATGGGCAGTGAAAAACTGAACTACTAAAGTGTTGCCCACCTGGGGCATAACCCTATGGAAATGTAAAGGGCACATTAAAGTAGCTTTGCATATCAGGTTGTAGATGCAAATGTGCAAAATACTACAAGATGCTATATTAGAACAGAAGATGCTGTACCAGTGTGGACCACCAAGTTATATTTCTTCAGATCAAAGAACACAATTGACAGCATCTAGCATTCAGCAACGGGGCAAGCAATACCACAGCAAATGGACATATGGTGTTGCATACCATCCTCAGAGTAGCGCTTTGATAGAAAATTGGAACAGATAGTTGAAACGTTTGCTGTCTATAGTGGGGGAAGGGAGATAAAAGCATGAAGGGGTGGCTTACATACCTTCAAAAATGTGTGCTCTGGCTGGGCATGGTGGCTCACACCTGTAATCCCAGCACTTTGGGAGGCCAAGGCCGGTGGATCAGTTGAGGTCAGGAGTTCAAGACCAGCCTGGGCAATATGGTGAAACCCCATCTCTACCAAAAATACAAAAAGTAGCCAGGTGTGGTGGCAGGCACCTGTGATCCCAACTACTTGGGAGGCTGAGGCAGGAGAGTCACTTGAACCTGGAAGGTGGAGGTTGCAATGAGCCAAGATCACACCACTGCACTCCAGCCTGGCCAACAAGAGCAAGACTCTGTCTTTTAAAAAAAAAAAAAAGTGTGTGCTCACATTCAACTTGAGAGGAGCAAAGGGAGGTCTCCATTAGATTGATTCCCCTAATTTTTCTGGGGGATCTGGGAAAAGGGAGGGCGGAGTTGTTGGTATAACTATATGATTTGTTCCCAAATCATCTCAACTACATTTTCCTGCCCAATACAGTGGCCCCAGGACTGGAACTGCAAATGTGGGTGTCAGAAGAAGGGACGATTCTCAAGGAAAAAACTGCAACTGTACCTTTAAACCTTTATGCCAGATTTACTAAGGGTCTGATGGGATGTGTTGTGCCTTCACAGTATCTGGCTAAATTTGGCTTCTTAGTGAATGCAGCCATGTTGCCTAGTGGTCAAGATAGCCCACTAGTTCCGCACCTTTGTAACTCTTCCTTACATGACTGGCAGCGGACTGAGGGCAAGGCACCTGCAACAGTACTGTTAGTGCTGGCAATGTGGATCAGCACAGTGGCCAAGCCTAATGTCCCTTCCAGAAGTGGAAAAACTTGGTAAAAATCAATGATAGGCTGGGTGTGGTGGCTCATGCCTGTAGTCCTAGCACTTTGGAAGTCCGAGGCAGGTGGATCAGGAGGTCAGGAGATCGAGACCATCCTGGCCAACATGGCAACACCCCCGTCTCCACTAAAAATACAAAAATTAGCTGGGCATGGTGATGCCTGTAATTCTAGCTACTTGGGAGTCTGAGGCAGGAGAGTTGCTTGAACCCGGGAGGTGGAGGTTGCAGTGGGCCAATATTGCATCACTGCACTCCAGCCTGGGCAATAGAGTAAGACTCTACCTCAAAACAAAAACAAACAAACAAAAAATCAATGACAGATGGTGAGGAAGAGACGCAGTAGCTGAGGGTAAAGGAATGAGTAAATGGGTTATGCAATGAGGGGAATGCAATATCATGTAGGTGCCTGGAGAGACTCAAAACAAGAGAGTAAGATTGTGTCTTAGCATGATTATACCAGATGCCTGAAAGGGGGAAGCCATGCATTTGCCAAGACGACTCCTGCTTTTGG